CCCCAAAACCCCAAAACCCCAAAACCCCAACCCCAAAACCCCAAAACCCCAAAACCCCAAAACCCCGGGAAGTTCAAAGAGATTGAAACTATTCATAATTTGTTCGAAATTATTCTTGATAACCCAAATTATTTAACGATTTTAGCATCTTTCAACAATTTTTGGAAAGTTGAACTCTTGAGCTTGGTTTTATTCCCAGTGTCACCAAATGAGCAATAGTAAGAGAAGATGGTCTTGACGTTTGGAATCAAAGCTTCTACATCCTCACTATAGACAGGATCGAATGAGATTTCTTCAACTTCCTTCTTCTTTGGAGCAGCTTTTTTAGTTTTAGTAGTCTTACGAGTGGCAGTAGTCTCTTTCTTAGTAGTCTTTGTAACCTTAACAGTCTTTGTACCTTTAGAAAGTTGAGAAAAGAGATCTCCTTTCTCTTCCTCATCGTCACTAATCTTCATCTTATCGAGTTTCTTCAAAACGCTTTCTGGTGGTTGTAAGCTAGATGATGAACTCTGAGTTCTATGCATTTTTGACTCAAAGTTACAGAATCCTTCTGATTTCTCCATTCTTAAGAACAAATTAACAACAGACTCAGCATTAGAAACACCTTTCTTCATGTAAGCTGTGTTTCCTAGGCATGCTAGGAAGTCGAGGAAGAAGGCAAAAGTGAAAAGTTTGTTCTCCTCCTTGATATCATAACTTTTAGAAAGAGCTTTTGATGCTTCCTTGTATACTGCTTTCTTTTTCTCCTCACTTCATTCAATGATGAAAGTCCATACATTGAATGTTACGCTTTTTGAGAGCAACTTGGGACAAATTTCAAAATCACGAAGAAATTCATACATATATTTCTCGCATCTTTGAGCCTCCTTATCAGCTCCTTTCTCTACTCTATCAATTCTGAATGTGAAGTAAGAATGATAGATATCATAAAGAAGATTGATATGATGAGTGAATAGTTCCTCAACAGTACTGCTAAATTTCACCTCTTTGGGCTTATCCTTACTCGACCCTCCAAGTTCCTCAATCTTTTTAAGCAAGTGATCACCAAGAAGAGACATGAAAGCATCTAGCTCCTCTCCGCCGTACTTAAGGACAGCAATCTCTCCAAGAAGTTTAATGAAGTCATCGAAATACATATTGGGTTTACTTTTGTTAATCTTCAAGAAGAAGATATCGATATCCTTTTTGGTGACCTTCTTGCCAATGATCCCAGTTTCTTTGCACATCTTCTGAACCTTATTAGATTGGATATAGGACATATTCTTCCTGTCTCCGAAGCTTGTGTAATGCTGGAATAGGATCCTCACCTTCTTCTGAATCTGGTCAAAAGTCACAATTTCTTCTTCAGAATCTCCTTTTTCTTCTCTATACCATCGTTTAGCAAATATAAGCCATGGAAAGGGAAAGATGGACCAAGGGTTGCAAATAGCAGGACATCAAACCAAGTTTGTCTCCCTTCTTGCAAGAAACCCCCCTAATAACTTACTCTTTGGCTGTATCCATCTTGATAGATTTTCTGTAAATAAAAACTAATTAAAGATGGTCACCAAAGCTCTGGATAAGTAGAATTTGGGGTTTTGGGGTTTTGGGGTTTTGGGGTTTTGGGGTTTTGGGGTTTTGGGG